TTTTGAACAACCTACGCACGTACATATTATACTCCTATAAATATTTTTTAAGTGGTTGCTTACGGTCTTCAAGCAAACAAAGGCTCCTATTAGTGGCCATATGTTGATCATAACCCTTACAGCTTATTAGCAATAATTTTGAATAAACTTTTATACATGTTTCCTTACCGATTTAAAAGTCAACATTAAGCAATAAACTTTGATAAAAAAACATAAAAAATTAAGTTTTAAAATTCAAAATTTCATAGTAGCTTATAACCGTAGGGGAAAAGAAGTAGTATATTTCATAGTTTTAGTATCTTGGCCTTTCTTTTCTTCTTCAGGTTCAGTAATATCGTAGATAGACATCTTGCTTTACATCTTTGATACCTGATCGGCATCAGCGCTGACCTATGCTGACCTATGGTTTGCGTTATTGTCAATAATACATTTCTAGTAGTGTTAAAATAACACAAGTTAGCGCTACGGGGTGTTGTTCTATGATGAATGGTGAATAGATTAATAGTTTTTGATAATTTTAGAGAACCAATAAATAATAACTATTACAAAATTAATTTAAAATTATACTCATATATGGAAAGTCCACACTACTTGTAAATTCGAGAAGCGTGTGCATTAATCATTTTATCATAGTATAGTACTCTTGCTCCCCAAGAAAACGAACCAATTGTTTACTTAGTACTCTACGTTATACTAGTTTCTACTCACGACTGGTCACAAACACGGCCGCTGAGTCATCTGAGGAACAACAAAGAGCAAATCAAAGATGGATGAGTCATGCTTGGGATTATTCTTTTGGCGCTTCATGTGATCGCAGATCGAGAAAAAGATCCTCAACTTTTGTCCCAAACTCTTAATTAGGGAAGAAGCCCATGATCCAATGCATGGGTTGTGAAAATTATCTTTACTATAGCTTTCTTTTTCTATCTTCCCTGCAGCACTGCCATACACAAGTAATCTCTCTATCTTTTTGTTCGGCGGTACTAATTAACATCATACATTTGAAAATAGTGGTAGCAGTATTTCTTACCACTTCACCTGCTACTAGCACCGACGGTTTGTGGGCCCATCGATTGGGCGTCTGCTGAAAATACGTCGTGCGACATATATATTAGCAAAATAATAAAAATTATAGGTAAAACTTATATATATATATATATATATATATGACATTAGCAATTTAAAAGTTAGTATTGAAAACTAAACTTTGATTAAAAAAACTTTAAAATCAAGTTCTAAAATTAAATTTTGGCAACAACTGATTTTATATAGAGCAAAAGATTTGAGGGACTGTTTTTATTTTGACGGTCAAGCTTGGAGATGCTAGGTTGTATTACGCCACATGAGCAAGCACAACCAAGCTATTACTCCCTCCGTCTAATAATATAAGGAATTATGCCATTTTTACAAAATTAAGGAAGTGGTAAAAGGACAAGACATGGTACAAAAGGTGATGAATAGGAGAATAAAGTAGTACGGAAGGTGATAGGCGGGGGAATAAAATAGTAAAAAAGTAGTGGATTAAGTAAACTAGTATAAAAGGTGGTAGGTAAAGAATAACATATTTGGGGTCACATTTTGTTGCCCATCACAGTCGAATATTTTGGCCACCCGATCTTCAGTTCGATTCGTGTTTGTGCATGTATAGCTTATCTAATCAATATGTACGTACGGTCATTAGCAGTGGGACCACCTACTTAATTTAGTTAATATAATGAATTAATTTGCATCTCATAGACTTCAGTATGTTTATTCATTGATTTAAAATAAAATTACACACTACTTACACTCTACTTACATATATAATTTTGAAACTTATATTATAAATACATTAAAATTATGTATGTAATTTAGGGACTTACAATGTAAATTCATGCCGACTATTTTTTTAGTGAGAAATATGACGTCATAAATATAGCTACCCTTAAGAATAAAGTGATGTCTTGGGATTGCAAAATCCCTTATATTTTATACTCCCTCCATCTATTTTTGATAGTCATATTTCCAAATCTGAAAAAAAAAATATTTTTGATGGGCATATTTCAATTCAACAACCTATCATCTTAATAACTTTCTCGGATTTAATGCGTGACTCTCCATTCTTCCACACAAGATTGGCTACATGGGCATCGAGAAATGTAAATATTAATGAATCGCTTGTTTATTAGAAATGACTAATAGCATGTTTAAATGGATGATAAGTAGAATTACTTATCCTTGGTCTGTGTGTCAAGATGAAATATGACTATCAAAAGTAGATGGAGGGAATAGTATATTACCTTATATTATGGTACGAAGGGACTATTATATTTTCGCTTATGCATATGCATGTCTAAATGACTTATTATCAACTAAGAATATAATTTATTAAGATCTTTATATATGTGTACAGAGTGATTCACAAGCAAATACTGTAAAATAAACTATGATGAAAAATCCACAAAATCAACTTAAAATAAGTATTGAAAATTGGCTTACAAACATAGTAAACCAAAAGATAGAGCTAATTGTAGGCAGATCCACCTAGGGCAGGATTTACAGGAGAATCGATAATTAAGCTGGCAAAACAAGCCCAGTATAATTTGCAGATAGGCCCGCACTTTGGTGGGCATCCCCCTAGATAGCCTGTTACCGCTTGGCCCAACTCCGCCGAGCAGCCCAACTATGTCAAAGAGATGTCGGTGGGTTCGGAGATTTCTGCCCCGACCCATCCGTACCAGGTGACGTCGTTGTGCTCATCCGATCCGCCGCCGCGGTTCATGTTGTCCGTTACCGGCTTCCGACGAAGGCAATGGCGGCGACCACCATTACCTAAATAGCTAATCGAGTTTGCATACTTCTTGTTTTCCGTTGATACGTTTTTCAAACGGTTAAACGGTATGTTTTATGTAAAAGAAAAAAAAAAGAAATTGTATAGAAGGGTTGCAGAGCCTGGCGGGGAGATTCTTTTCCTAGGAGGGCATCACCGAATGACATGCCGTGCTCACGCGTGAAGCCGACGGCCACGCCCACTCCGGCAGTGCGGTGCTTGTCGAGGAGGAGGAGGGGCTCGCCGGTCTCACGCGCGAGGATGTTGGACTCGGACACGTACGCCCAGCTAGGCGGAGTGCGGTTCTGAACCCGAATGGCCTCGCGGGAGGGCACGCCGCGCTCGCGCGCCAAGACGTCGGCACCGTTGGTGTCGGCCACGGCCACGGTCAAGCGTGCCCGTGTGTCGCGGTTGGCGAACGGCGCGCGGTGATCGGTGAAGGGCCCCGGCTCGGAGGCGCTGTCCTGGGGATGCGCAAGGAGGGGCACGACCACGAACTCGCCGGACTCCACCGCCATCTTCTGATCCGTCGCTTGAATTCGATCGAGCAGAGGCGGAGGAGAAAACCGTTTCTTTTGGGCTTTTGGTGTGCTGGGGAGTGGGATTTGTGTGTGTTGTGTGGGGGTAGGCAACTGACAATTGGCGGTGCCCGGTGGAAAGGAAACTGACACGTGGCGGTGCCTGGCCGGGAATCACCATACTGACGGCAGAAAATTCTTGCAACGCTCGTGCGTAATCAGCGGGTGCCGTTGAGGCACTGACATGTGGGCCCTTCTATCAGTGTCTCGACGGCACACATGCCGTTACGGTGAAGGATCAGCTTCCTGCAAAACATTTCAAACTAGATCTAGAGCTGATGAGTGATGTTAGATAACCGGTTGTTACATAGTAGTAGTATATATCAAAATTATGTTTAGAGTTAAATGCACGGGTGGTATGACAATTAAAATGGTTATAATTAAGGATGGGATGGGACAAACCCACTTTTAAGGGTAGTTTGGTTGAGGGGTAAGTGGGATGGGTGGGACTAGAAGGAGGAGCAGCGGCGGCGCATGTGGAGCAGAAGCGAAGGGACCGAGAGAAGAGTCACATAGAGAGATTTGAGGAGGATTGGATTAGGTTACACTAGATGTGCTAGATGGGCCGCCCGATGTAAAATAAGCTAAATAGAGTTGTTGTGTGGCCTGAAAGTTGCGGATTATCCGCCAAACAGAACATTGGATAATCCGATTAAAATATCGAATAATCCACATCCATCGGATATCGTTGATACCACATCCGCATTCGCATGACAAAATCCACATCCACATCCAGCCAGATATCTAAAAACCCTTACCGTATCCTCACATCGGACGGATTCGGAGCGGATCGGATCGGATAATATCCGCTCCGTTTTCACCCCTACCCTCAATCATGCCGATAGCTTCCTCCTCCCCTCGTAGTTTTGAGAAAATCACTCTGAAAGAATTAGGAATATTGAAAAAAGAGTTTTAGAGTCCGTATGGGAATAAAATTTATAAATAAGTAAAACTCTGAATTTGAAAATAAGAAATATTGAAAGAAAGGTTTAGAGTCCATATAAGAATAATATTTATAAATAATGGAACTTTAGAATTAATAAATAAGAAACATTGAAAGAAGAGCCTAAAATTCTAAAATTCATATAGGAATATAATTTAGAAATAACTAAAATTTAAAATTAAAAAATAATTAATTATTGACACTTCTATAATATAGATATTACACACTGATTAGTTTGGTCAAATTAGTACGGTATTTAAAATTATTTTGTTATTTTAATATATTTTAATAATAAAATATAAATATAAATATTACTAATTTTGAGCAGAGCATAGCAGCGGTGGGTTATGCTGCTGCTGTGTGTTATGCCGGTGTAGTTTGTAGCGCTTTGCACCATAGCGTGCTTTGTGCTTCTTTTTTCTGAGTTGTTGATTCATATAAAACTGTAAAATATAGTGTTTTGTCTTAATTTGAGTGTAGTTGGTCGGCGTCCTTCTATTGTCCCGGAAAAAAAAATTGTTGATTGAGCAAAGTCATGTGCTAATAATTTTTTTTCTTTTTATATTACACGATAGATGCACGCACACACACCATTACACACGTAACATCACACTCACACCTCTATGAATGTGTCCCCTAACACACGTTTTAAGAGACGGAAACCAGTAGCAGATCTCAAGTGACAGTACGTACCTCATCTACGAGCGTTCAATTATGATATTATGTGAAAACAATCAATTCTGATATTACATTATTTAACGGTTTTGCATCATACGAGTTCTTAAGCATTGAAACAATTGTGGTGAACGTTTGAGTCTTCAATCATGTACCTCCATTAACGAAATTATATCTCCAGCTGATTGTTTATCACTGATTACAGAATCTTCATAAGGTTGTGCCAGTAGGACGCTCAGGTCAGAATCCCCAAACCAATGTAGGATTCAAAGCTATCCCTGAGGGTTTCCTCCATGGGCCTGAAGGTCCAACCTAGCTTCTCAAGCTTCTCTGAACTAAACCTAGTGTTTTGTTCCTCATCCACTTCGATAAAGAAAAACACAACACAATAAGTCTCTACATATATCACGAATAAACAAAAATGCATATATCACACTTCAGGCATGTACTAATTAAGGAACACAAAAATAATTAAGCTTACTTTTGGGGATAATTGAAAGCTGGATATAAGCTCTTTGACGTGTTTATTATATCACTTAGTTTTCTTGGAGTTGAACTGCATATGTATCGTTCAGATCCCCCTGAGTTTTCATAGACTAAAAGAATAGCATCGGCAACATCGCGAACATCCAACAGAGTCTCGAGTCTGTTTCCAGCCGTCTCGTTGTCTCCTGCATTAGAAACAGGGGCGCAGCCAGGCTTGGGGCAACTTGGCCTCGAGTCCAATACTTGGCTCCAAAACTCCAAGTAAATCCTTTAGTGAATTGTAAATAAAATTTGGAAGTATATAATTTCTAACTGAAATTGTCAAATTCAGCCCTAGCTTGCATATTTTTTTGCTCCACCACCGATAAGAGCAGTATGGTATTTCAGTACGCAACACTTATTACACTTATTATACAGAGTAAAGTAGCTTGATGTTTAATTATTGAGCTACGAAAATATTATAGCAATTTCTTTGCATGATTCATATTGGAAAAGGAAAAAATATGAAACAAGTGGTGAGATATCATGCATGCTATTATTGTCTAACACAACATCATACGGGAATTTTCAGTTAAACTAAATCCGCTACTATTGTTGAATGTAAAAGGCAAACTGAAATAAGAAAATTCCTATCCACCTTTTATAATATGAAAGAAGACTTCAATACTTGTAGGTACTGTAGGCTGCATCAATGGACCGATTATCAACGCCGGACAGATAGTTACAATGTCCATCCCAGTTTTTGCCGCGTACTCAAAAGCCTCACGCTCTGCCAGTGTATTGGAAAGGTAATAGGGGTACCACTCCTATCAGAAACAGCATAATTAATTGATTTTTAGTGCATTTGACAAAGAAGTAGCATGAATTACTGAAGGTAAGGAAATTGTCTCTATGATTGGTAAACAAACCATGCACGCATTGCCAAAAAGGAAAAAAAATTGTACCAAATATCAGGAAAAGAAAATTCAGATTGTGCCCTTGTTTATCTATATAAAGTGGAGTGCATAGGACAAGACAAAGTCTTTTTTAATTTTTTTTAAAAATCAATTCAGACTGTTTCTCTCTCCTAGAGTGCATAGGAAAAATTGCATATGCCCACCTAACCCAACATGCCAAAAATTGCATGTTACAAAAGTAGAAAATGTTAGGACGACATAACACTACTTCATCAGTACTCTTAATAACAACTTAGTACCTCATTCTTCCTGCAGGTCTCCTCATCTGACCAGCTGTCTTCGTTGAAGGGCTCACCCGTTGGCCAGTTGGGATTATTGAACACTGCGACAACTGAAGAAACCACCACAACTCGCTTCACTTTTGCTTCGTGGCTAGCTCTCAACACATTCAGTGTCCCAGTTACAGCCGTAGCGATGATATCTACCTGCATCACAGTAATTTTTGTAGGACTTTATTACACATCTTAAAAGTTAAAAACACTTTTTGCTTCTAAGTGAACCTAGTTCAGTACTAGTAGTATATGTCATCGGAGTGATTACATTGGAACTAGAAGCAAATCCAAACTAGTATAGTACAGTAATTTTGACTGAAACTTCTGAAAGAAAAGGTAATTTTGTCTGAAAGGTTCAGGATGGTGTAAGCTACTGACCTCAGGATTGGTGGGTCGGCCGGAGGTGACAGGGCTGGCGACATGGAAGACGCCGTCGCAGCCGGCGATCGCCGCCGCGACGCTGCCGTAGTCGAGCACGTCGGCCTTGAACAGCCGCAGTCTCTCGCCGGCGTTCTCCAGCGCCTTCAGATGGGCGTTCTTGCCCTCACCTGCACGATACTTTCTCAATTTATAGCTCAAAAAATTATTGCAATCATCTTGTACTACTTGTAGCGATCCTTCGTTTCAGAAAATTTCTTACAGAGATAAAATCGAAGGTTTTCTTACCGAGGTCGCGCGGTGCCGTTGATGACGTAGTGGTCCTTGGAGAGGAGGAGCTTGACCAGCCACGAGGCGAGGAATCCGCCGGCGCCGGTGACGCACACGGTGCTCGACGTTGCCGGCGGCGGCGCTTCCATGCTGTCTCTCTCTCTCTCTCTCTCTCCTTGCTTCTCGATCCCAGCTTCCTGGCTGCTAAGGTTGATAGCTAGCCTAGCGAGTGGTTTGCTTGCTCCGATGTCATACGCTCTATCTTTGCCAATTGCCACGTGGCGCGAAACTGGACAGCGATCGATCGAGCTCCACAAGTTGATCAGTACTATGTGTTCGCTACTATTTGTGGATTTTTCGCGTACACGTGGACGTGGTCCGGTTTTTATTTTTATTTTTTTTTCTGTCGTTTTTTCCAGTGCCGTACATACAGATTGGAGTGGAGGCGCCGGTGAAAATATCATTATTAAGGGCCAACTTGGAAGCCCTGTTTGTGGCCAAATAGCAATGTAAAATACCAGCCTAAATCTTTTTTAGGTGTGGAATAAGTCCATTTTGCCTCCCTTATCTCTTGTTGCTAACTAAATTACCTCCCTCAGCCACAAAACCAGATATAACGCCTCTTCCGTCTTCAAAAACGGTGCAAATAGACTCTTTGATGGTTTGGAAAGTAGTTTTGCTGACGTGGCAGGTTGATCACGGTTGACTTGTTGAGTCAGCGGGTGGGGCCCACATGTCATTGCCCGTTTCCACCTTTCTCTCTCCCCCGGTTTGGATCAGGGGCCTCAGCGATGACCTTCTCATTCCTCTCCACCGGCAGCTTCGTCGCGCAACTATGGAAGGCGATGGCGGGGGAGACGACGCTCCTTTGGAACCTGAGGTTCGTGGAGGTCACAGATGAGGCGCCATACATCGACGGGATTCACCCGTGCTACAGTAGGTTGTCGTCATCGTCATCCTCGCCAGTCGGCAACCCGGCGAACGACGCCTCCACGTCTCTGCTCCGAGCGATAGCGTTCATGGTGTTTGCGTCGTCGACTCATCATCCACCGCGCCGTTGCGGTGCTCTCCTGCTGCTGCCTATGAAGAGAGAGGGAGAGAAGAAGGATGGAGAGGTGGGGAAGAAAAAAAAAAGGACTTGACATGTGGGCCCACCGTATTTTTTTTTCATATCTCACCGACATGTGGGCCCCACTTGCATAAACCGCTTCCCAAACCACCAAAGGAGTCTATTTGCACCGGTTTTCAAAAATGGAGGAGGTGTTATACCCGGTTTTGGGGCTGAGGGAGACGATTTGATCAAGGGTGATGAGGGAGGGAGGATAGACTTATTCCATTAGGTTTTAATGTACAAGTGGTGCTTGGATGGCCCGTAGCCCACTAAATATACCTCCGATTGTCCCCACTTCGCAGAGTAGCTGACAGCAGAAACACGAGATATCGAGGTTGCGAAATGGGCACAGAACACATGAGAGATTTTTCTTGTGTGCTTGTGAAATGGGGTCAGTTGATTATGTTCACAAATTTATGAAATATGCCTCGATCTCTTGTGTGTTTCTGCTGTCAGCTACTCTTAAGGGTTTGGATGACCATAATTTTCATGTTCTGTGTATAATTTTGATGTAGTTTCAATTGGTTTCTCATTAAAATTTCTGTATATGACAATGTTTATACTCTTTTTTTAAAAAAAATCAGTTATGACCTTTACGCAAATCATGCTTGCTTGCTAGAGCTGAGTAGGGTTCAGCTCTTTTTCAGTGGTATTTTTGGGCCACACCAAACTACAGGTGTTTTTATTTTACACCTGAGAAATAAAACTAAACTCTCAAACAAGCTTTAAATGTGTATTTTACTTTAGATTGTGCATATGGATTAAAGTTACAAATAGACCAACATTATAATCACTTTTCATTCAATACCAAATATTTTATAATTTATTGTAAACGTATCCACCACTGCTATATATGTTTTCCTCGTTTACGTCTTAACTAGTGATCTTCTATCCAGATTAGAAGAACTAACCATAGATCTAATAAGCTCCCTCTAAAAAATAGAATAGTGTGTGACTAATGACGGCTAAAGTTATAAAGAAAAATAAAATATAGACGTATAGATGGTCAATGAAGCCTTACGAACAGCCAACAACAACGGTTTGTTTAAACTTAGAAAATCATTGCATCCTAATGCAATGATTTTGTTTTCTTTGCCGAACATGTGTTGACATCATCGTCACGTGTCCAATGGGTGGATATACCGTTTACGAATTTTTCTGACCGAATGATCTAAAAGTGATTGCCGACATTGTCTCGCCTATATATGCATTGGCTCCCATCGGTTGCCCATTTTTTCCAAAATGGCTTATTTGGCTTATTAAAAAATTAAAATTAATTTATAAGTAAAACTTTTGTAGATTTGTTCGTCGCGACTTAAAAGCCAACATTAACAAAAATTACGTTAAAAGCATTTCAAAATCAAATTAAAAAATCTAAATTTTGGCATATTCTTTGACTGTTTAGGCCAAACGATGGGGCTGATTATTTTTTCTACTTTTTGTCAAAGAAAGAAAGCCATACTCGATTCCTCCAATGTAGAGCCCACACGAGGGGAAAGGGGATCGATCGAGGATGTGTTGGAAATGGAGGAGCAGAGTTGGTTAGAAGGGACAAAAGAAAAAGATTACTTATACTATAAGCTAATCAAATACTGACCACTTGCATTAAAGTGTTGCTTTCCGTTCTTTTTCTTGCGTACTAGCAAGAAAAAGTATTTTGGTGTTTTTTCTTCCTTCACTGTACTTTTCTGCACGACGACCAAGAATATGTGTGGTGCTCGTCGTTCCCAGGATGGTTAATTGGCGGGTTTAGTGGATTATTGCTCGGATCCGTTGTGTCTTGCCACGTCGAGCGAAAGTGAGAACTGGACAACAATGAGCTGCAGATTTCACATCATCTAAATTGTGCTTGATTAATTATCTGCGAATTTTAACATCTTTCCTCTTCTCCTCCTCCTTTTAGTATAAACCACCTGATTAATCACGTACCATGGAATGTGTCGTAGCTAGTGTATACCGTCTGTCGGAGTCGTGGGTCAGATTGAATACCGTGGCCCGTGGGTCGTGGGGCAGGAAGGCATCTTCCAGATCGAGTTGCTTAATTAATTAGTAAATCCGTTAATTAATTAGAAGACGAGATAGCGAAGTGAAGACGACAACGGGCAGAGCACGACGTACAGGAGAATAATCCAGCAATTAATGCAACTACCAACTTCAGGGTTGGGTTTTGTTACAAAGGTTGAATGAAAATTTGGATATTTGTAACACGTTTTTCAAATTGCTAAATGGTACATTCAGTGCGAAAATTTTCTATACGGAAGTTGCTCTAAAATATTAGATAAATATATTTTTTAAGTTTATAATAATTAAAACCTAATTAATTATACATTAATACTACCTCGTTTTTATGTAAAACACTTCCTTTTTATCTATATGAGATGACTTTGTACCTTAATCCAATGCTGCTTTTGGGAGTGGAGTTTGGAACATCACTTCCTTGCATGAAGAATATATTAGTTTATTAATATATAATTAATTAAGTATTAGTTAAAAATGGTTAAAAATAGATTGATAGGATTGTTTAAAGCAATATGCATGTAGAATTTTTTTTAAAAAAATGTATCACTTAGCATTTTGGAAAGCATGGATGTGAAAAATAAGATAAATGAGTTGGAAAATAGGGAGAATAACACAACATAAAGATTAAAGATTCAATTTTTAAAGATGCTCATGGAGAGAATTAATTGATGTCTATGTGTGTGTTTACCTTGATTAGGTATACGTGCGTTCGATGTCTTAACCATAATATAATCAATTAAAGGTACTACTGTGTACTTAATTAATGGCAAGGATCTTTGATCACTGCATGCTAGCGGCGGCTGACAATATCGCGATCGGGTCAACTAGGACCCTTTTTGGCCTCCAAATTGCTTCTAGAAAATATATTACGCAGCGTGCAGGAGAGAGGCAAACCGATCGCAAAGACTAAGACTGCGTCATACTCCTTCCGTTTTAAAATGTATGAGTATGACAATCTTGTTGATTTTCGTATAACGTTTAATCATTCGTCATTTGCAATAGACTTCTCATGCAACACTAATTCCCTCTTTGTATATTGGTTACATGATCATGCACGTGTAGGTCGACAGTCCGATGGAGCAAATAAACCACTAGAATCAGTTGTCGTTTGCTCCAATCGCGTTGAATTTTACCTTGAGTACGCTGAAATCAGGCACTTATAAAAATTAAGATAATCAAGGTATAATACCTGTCGAAACATGAATTCGGCAATAATAAAAGGGATAGCGCACGAGACCTAAAAGTGGATGGATGCGGAGACAAAAGATTTAGACAGGTTCAGGCCCTCTCAGTGAGAGGTAATACCCTACTCCTGTTTAGGGATTTGAATCCGCCGGGTGTGTATTGATCTGACGATCAGGTTGTGGCATGTGCCCCCTAGAGGGCCTCCTGCCCACCTTATATAAGATGGGGGGCAGGATTACAAGATAGAAACCTTAACCAATACGGTATCGGTTTTCTAAATCTACTTTACAATCTTATCAAACCAGGACTTTAGGCCGTACCATAATATACATGGAAACGTAATACCCAAGTCATGATCCGTTACATATTTCATAGATATAAGTTATCCCCTATAACCAGTCGGATAACCATGCCGTGTGGGTATAGGGTACCCATAATCTCCACAGTAGCCCCTGAGACCTTCACAGTCGAAAAGATAATCTTCTCTCGGACTAGATTACTCCAAAGCCTAGTGCTTCAATCATCTTCGCCATGATCTCCCGAGTACTTTTACCAAATCAGAAGACTGTGGAGGGCTGAAAAATAAAGTCAGGTGCATCGACTAGATGCACCTAATAGGTGTAGCCCCCGACTATGTGGTTAGTTGAACAAACAAAGCATATAGTCAAGGAATAAATAATCCAACCAACTGAAAGGTTTTTAATAATTATAGTCAACCAAGTGACTTAATATTAATATATAGCATATGCATCGTGAATCCCCGAACAACATGATCCGAGTGATATACCGATTGCTTTGTAAAATATGATGCGAGCAACCTAAAGTTGTGTACATCATGGAAAATTCATATAGCAAAACAGTTATAAAAGAAGCTTGTATGCTGCGAATAAAGAAATTTCCAAAGTATTAAGCACACACAATGCGCACACTGCTTTAACAAATGTGCTTAAGTCCCTAAAAGACACAT